ATTTTCTGGGAAAATCAGGCAAAACAGTGGAGGGTGAGTGCAGTGTCTACATAGGCCAGAAAAGGGTGTTGAATGCCCTGGAGCTAGACTTACAAGCAGTTGTGAGCTGTCAGGCATGGATGCTAGGAACTGAACTTGGGTCTTCTTTCTGGAAGAGCAGTATGCGTTGTTAAACACTGGGACATCTCTCCAGCCCTCTCCATGGTTTTTGTATGCTTGTTTGTTTTTGAGACAGGCTCTCTCACTGAACCTAGCACTCACCAATTACATTAGACTGGCTGGCCAGTGATCTCAAGGAATCTGCCTGTCTCTACCTCCCCAGCATTGGGCTTACAAGCTCACAACCACTACACATGGCTTTTTATGTGAGTTCTGGGGATCAAAACTCAGGTCCTCGAGTTTGATGGCAAGTGCTTTATTAACTTGGGCATCTCCCCAGCCCCCCCAACCTGAATCTTGTTTCATTGTCAGAATTTATAAACCTATATAAAGCATGTCCTCTTCATAGGGAATAATTTGTGCCAATCACAAAGGACAAGAAATTAAACCAGGCTCCATGGGAAAAGGAGTAGTGCCCTATGATGTCCAGGTGAGTTGAGAAAACATTTGGTTCAAAAAAGAAGAAAAAATGCTTTGGTTTTCTCCTCTTTGAACTACTATTCATGATCTGCTTTCATTTTATGAAAAGAAAAAAAGGGGGTAAAGACTCAAATTATTTATTTTATTCCAGATTATAGATGAAAATGGAAATGTCCTACCATCTGGCAAAGAAGGGGAAATTGCCCTCAGACTGGAGTCTACTCGGCCCTTCTGCTTCTTCTCTGAATATGTGGTATGAGCATGAAGAACATGCTAGCCATGCCTGAATACAGAAATGGGCCCAAATTTCATATCCACCATACCTTGTTATGTCTTGGGCAAGTGTTAAATACAGGTCTGTTTCATTAGCTGTAAAATGGGGAGAATGACATCCATGTCTTGAGAGTAACGTTAAGACAAATGCTCCATGTAAGAAGCCAATGGCAGTGGCTGTCCTCAGAGAGGAAAGGTGGACCGGCTGAGCGAGAAGTTACTCTCAAGCCCTGGAGTTCGCAGGAGAGGTGTAGCTCTTAGATCTTAGATCCTTTGTGTTCTAGTGCCCTTTATAAAAACCCTGATTTCTTTTATAAATATGATGTGAAAGTCCCTCAGTGGATGTCACACCCCGTCTGTTCTGGCCAGACTAACCCCCAAACGCCATCTTCGATTGGTAGGACAATCCAGAAAAGACTGATGCCACAATAAGAAGAAATTTTTATGTCACTGGAGACAGAGGAGTAATGGACAATGACGGATATTTCTGGTTTGTCGGCAGAGCAGATGATGTCATTATATCCTCTGGGTTTGTACATTTGCTTTCTTAGAAAGTGATGGCATGGCAGGGTGGGAGAGCTCCTACTTGGGGAATGTGGTGATCAAAGGCTTCCTCTCCTCTGCAGGTACCGGATTGGGCCATTTGAAGTGGAGAGCGCACTGATAGAGCACCCAGCAGTCGTTGAGTCAGCTGTGGTCAGCAGCCCAGATCCCATCCGAGGAGAGGTAGAGTGGATGTCAGAACTAAAGCAGCAATTTCATTGTCAAGTTCTGTCCATGTGTCTATGGCAAAGGCCAACTCAGGGGCACTCCTTTAGTTCTCATCAGAGAGTACATTATGCAGGAAATCTACTTTACAGAGGAGTTTTCTATCTCAAAGGAGTCTGGGATCCTTTGAGTGGCCCATGACAGAAACACCCCTCAATTCAGGGGTTCGAGCTTTATCCAAGCATTCCTGTGACGTTATGGAGGCTCAGTCTCCCTGTCTGCCTAAGATCCTTCACTGTAGTTCTTCCCATCACATAGCAATCAGCTCCAGACACAAAGAAATATAACTCCCTCCCACCCTACCAGGAAGGAGTGAGTTCTTTTCAAAACTGTTTCAAGTAAACTCCACCACATCTCTAGCCAGTGTGGTTCAGCAATTGGTGTAGCCAACTGGCTAGACCTGGATGATATGCCGGTCAAGGGTTCTGAAGGAAGGTAAGTGCTGGTAGTTCTACCAGAATGTAGTGAGGGGAATATTGCTCAGACACCTCAGAGACTGCTGATCCATGGGGAACAGATACTGCATAAGCAAAAACATCAGACTCATCTCCTATGCAGCTATTACAGCTCAAAATACATCTCTTATTGAAATGAGAACAGAAATTGTACCCAGGGTCCCCCCTAAATTCCCATTTGTCTATTTAGGAATCACATCTCCCTTTCCTCCTGGAAGTTTTCTGAAGACTTAGCAAACAGAAAAATGTTGAGTCAGTGTGGCTATCAGTACCCCCCCCCCCCACACCTTCTTCTATGCCTCCCCATCACATATCATGACCTACCACAGGGGTATTCTGAATGGCATCTTCTTGCCCCTCCACTCTGGATCTATTCCAATCTCCAAAGTATTTTCTCCTGCCACCACATCTTCATCTTTTCAACGTAACTGATCTCAACTGAATTCCAGAATCTCTGTCAGATCTCCTTCATATCATACTCTTTAGAATCTCCATTTTTTCCTGCTCAACATGCCTCTAACTGTAGAAGTATCATAGCATAAATGCCTACCTCCAAATCAAGGACTGCCAGATACAATCAAGTGAGCAGAACTCAGCACTCCCCACATTCACAGTCCACTCCTCTGGAAAGAGCTCCCCAGATGCACTTTGTAATCTTTATAATCTGTACCCAAGTTCATTCAGCATCTCTGGGGTTTGCACTGCTGGGAACAGTCCTGCCTGTGTTCAGCAATGGCTCCAAAGCCTTGATGTGTCTTACAAGCTGATGGCTTTCCTGCCACAGGTGGTGAAAGCGTTCGTGGTGTTATCTGCACCCTTCAAGTCCTCCAACCGTGAGAAGTTGACTGCCGAACTTCAGGATCATGTGAAAAACTCAACAGCACCTTACAAGTACCCAAGAAAGGCAGGTGCAAGTTACCTTTGACTGTGTCTGGTTTCGGCTTTACACTTGCTATGTATCCTAGAAGACACCTTTCCAGTTTGTTTACTATGACAGTTTTTTGTTTTAAAGTGTTTTATATTTAGGATACTACAAATGATTTTTTTAAAAAAGAAAAAAAAGTTTTAAAATCAACACTGCAGGGGCTAGGGGTATGACTCCTTGCTGTGTGAGGACCCCAGAACCCATGCAAATGCGGGGTGGGTATGCTGGCCCACCTGCCTGTAATTCTAGCCTTAGAAGGCAGAAATAGAACACCAGAGCAAGCTGGCCAAGGCAGAGGTAGAACACCAGAGCAAGCTGGCTAGCAAGACTAGCCATATCTGAGAACTCTGGGTTTGATTAAGAGACACAGCCTCCATAAAAGGTGGCGCGCACATGCGCGCGCACACACACACACACACACACACACACACACACACACACACACACAGAGAGAGAGAGAGAGAGAGAGAGAGAGAGAGAGAGAGAGAGAGCGCTCTTCCTGAACCTTTCTTCAAAGGACGAAGACGCACATGTAAAAGACAAAGATGGTTGCTGCAGTGCCTGCCAGCACTGGAGTAGTACCAGCTGCTACTGGATGAGTACAAGACCATCTCATCTCCACTGGCATCATTTGGGCCAATATGTAGTTAATGTGATCTGATCCAACCATCCTCACACTTTCTCCATTAAAATAACTAAATTGGTAATTCTTTGACTTTCAGAAAAGAGTTGTGAAGGTAAGAGTATTATCTTTGTTTTTTTTTGTTTTTTTTTTTTTTTTTGGTTTTTCGAGACAGGGTTTCTCTGTGTAGCTTTGCGCCTTTCCTGGGACTCACTTGGTAGTCCAGGCTGGCCTTGAACTCACAGAGACCCGCCTGGCTCTGCCTCCCAAGTGCTGGGATTAAAGGCGAACAGTATTATCTTAAGAGAAGAAATCAAAGACAGAAGTTTATGGGCAGGGTGTAAGGTGAAAACTCTGAATACTCTATTAATCACCCCTAAATTCCTCAGATTCCTGAGGTCCCAGCTCTTAAAAACCGTGTTTTAAGAAAAAGGCCTCTTCTCCGAACCAGATGTAGTAGAAGGCAGTAGTCTCAGGTGCAGACAGAGAAGGCCAAAGAAAGGATGAAAAGATTATTTCCTTTTGGCAGGACACACCAAGCCTCCAAACTTAGCCAGATTCTCCTACTGCACTGACAGCCAGGATGAGACAAATGAAACCAAGAGCCTCATGGTGTGTTTTTCTATCAATTAGGTGGAATTTGTTCAAGAACTCCCGAAGACAATCACTGGGAAAATCAAACGCAACGTGTTAAGAGACCAGGAGTGGGGCCGAGCGTAGCTGGATGGGAATGAGGCGGGACTATGTAATGACGCAATTGTTTTAGTACTTGCTTCCCGAAAACTCAGTGACTATATGTTCTTAAAACGCTTTACGATTTGTTTTTTCCCCATATGAAAATAGGTTTCGTTTTGTACCTAAACAATAAAAAAAACAAAAAAAGCAAAACCTAAACATGTTTGAGGATGCTCTTCTGATGCTCAAGCCAACACAGAGAATGAAGTGTTTAGAATGACCAGGTCAAATGACTGCAGAGGGGCAGCATGCCACGAATCTGTGCTTTGTTCTTCTTGTCCTGAGTAATCAAAAATAAAGATGGACTGTCCTAACAGAAATGTTTAAGACATCTGCATAACCAGTCTTTATGAGATCATGGGCTCAAGAAGATGAAATTACTGCTCAAACCAGGAGTATAAATGACTCAAAGGCCAGTTAGTGCGTTTAATGAAATTTAGTATGGGACTGAGGTTTGTTTTGAAGTAAATCTTGCAAAATATTTTAAACTCGTTCCTTTTAGAATTAATTATTCATGAATACATTTTAGGACTATGAACCTGGATTTTTGATAATCATACAGATATCATTTTTATGATAAACATACTATACACATAGGAAGCCATTTAATATGGGGCAGAAAAAAAAGTACAGGATATCAAACTTTATTGAACAAATTCATTTTTATTTTTTAAAATATCAGAACTTTGAAAACAACCTGAACGTTCAGCTGCACCAAGAACAAAATGCAAGTAAAAAAGTTTGAAAACTGTGTTCAGCTTTGGAGAAACGTATCTTACAGTACCAGGCTTACCTCCTTTGTCTGTAGAGTAGGGCAGGCACACTGGCCCACAGCACTGGGGTTTGGTTTCTGCTTCTTTATTTTCTGTTTTAAAGGCCTTCGCTTAAAACAACAAAAACCAAACAAACAAAACCCCACTCAATTCCCACCCTGGGATCGTCTGCAAACTAACACACTGAAATGTTAGTGGAAATAAAGGCGTCAGATCTGAAAGCAAAGCCAGATGAGTAAGTGAGCTTAAGATTCCAGGAGCACACAGAACTGTACAACCTGCAAACAGCCCATCACACTCGGGTTTCACTAAACACAAATAAATAAAAAGACAATCAAAACCATAATGTAAATCAAAATCTGAAGGGCAGCAACTTTGCCAAGCTCCAGAACTTTGTGTCTGACCAAATGGTAATTTATCCCCAGGCCCTTCGTCCTACACTATTAAAAGAAAAGTCCCTTTATCTCGGAGCAAGCCTCAAGAAGACACCAGGATTTTCTCCTAAATGCATATCCTTTCAAGATGGTTTCAATTTCAGACCTGAGTTAACATGTCAAAACCCTTGAGGATGCTCCAGCCCTGTCTGCATTAGCGAGGTGCTGCCTGTTCTCTGCTTCTCCCATATCCTCTTGGTCTGGCTTACCGAGCAAGCCTCTAGCTATCTGAGAAGAAATATATTCTCACGTCACTCGCTCTTTAGCCACTTGTGCCAGGAACCATATAGTATTTATACTACTTTCTAACTTGTTTTAAGAATTAAGCACAAACCTTTTTCCCAACCTAACGCTACAGCCACTTCGCAGTCCCCACCTGGACAGTTTTGCAATGCTCATAGGTCGCTTCCGCCCTTTACCATCTCTACCTGTGGGGAATTCCTAAAAGCACAACAAACTGAAAGGACAGCTTGGACAGCAGTCCAGTGAAACCATGGGGCAGTAGATGTTCGTGGTCATTTATGCACTAGTATACGAAGTGACTCAGCAGAGTGATTCCTCATCCCTAACCTTACAAGAAACACCCATGGGTCTGCACCTACAACAGTCCTCTTCTACCTCACATCTTCTCTACAGAAACTGCAGCAATGGGCCATCAGATTTGCTTTGAACATTAAAAAAAAAACATAACAAGAAAAACATAAAATGTACGAAGCCATCACAAAGTGATTCCCATATAATCCGGTGCCACTTCTCTGTGTGTACAGTGAAGTGGCAGGGACAGCTGAGCCATATGTAGCACATAACTTCCTCAGAATGAGAATGCCCTGCTGATTTCCCACTAAGATGCTGTTCAGTTCCACATCAGTTGGCAGTGCTTAAAGGGAAACCAGAGAAAGTAAGTAGGAGGCAGAGGCCAATGCCATCCTCCTACCACCTTCCCCTAGGCAACAGTGCATGGGTCTGTACACACTGACATGAAGGCCTGGAAGGGCTCTAACAAAACTGTCAACAGCGATTGTGAGATCAGCATTAAGCAGCACACAAGAGCCAAAAAATATTATCACAATTTTACAAGGAACCCCAATAGCTTGTTGCAGAACCCCAGCTGAGACCCACCTCCCCAGAGAATGACCTATGAGAGCTCATTTTCATTTGGTGTGGGTCCTTCTGAAACTTGACTTTCAAGTTCAGGTTTAGCTTCTTCCTCACTCCCTGCTGGGGTTTCAGACCTTGGATTTCTCTGCCCCAGCTCCTCGCTGCTCTCTGGTGCCACCTGCTGGTTATTTTTACCTTCTGCAGGATCACTTTGATTCAACTTGCCATCAGGTTCCAATTTTGCTTCTTTGCCATTTCCCAGCTTTGGGTGAGGCTGTGAGTCTTTTCCACTCTTCACTACCTCTTGGAGGTTGTATTTTCTGAACAGTACATAATCTTTCACAACACTCAGGCAACACACAGCTTTGATGATTTCGACTACCACCGTGTACTCTGGATTAGTGAGATCCACTTTATTTTCTGAATTGAGGCTGCCCACGATTCCTGTAACAAAAAATAGGAAAATGGACTAAGAAGGAAGGATATGATACCTGATGGAGTCAAACAGGCTTTCATCCCTTACTATCTGGGATTTGTTGAAACAGGGTTTATAAGAATTTGTTGTTCTACGTGGCCATCAATCAAATTCCATTAATACTTTTGTTTTATTTATTTTCCAGATGGGGTCTCTATGTAGCCCTTCCTGGCCTGGAACTCACTATGTAGACCAGAGTGGCCTTGACCTCATAGAGCTCCATCTGCCTCTACCGCTCAACTGTGGGATCAAGGGCATGAATGTACGGATCTATCAATGCTTTTAATAACTAAATACAAATGAAACCTTGGGACATTTAATAGGAGAGCAGTGGTGAGTGGAGATGACTCAGCTGCTATGCACATACACTGCTCTTGCACAAGACCCATCTGTTCCTGGCACTCCCGCTGGAAGGCTAGACAATCACCTGTTAACTCCAGCTCAACAGGCTATGACAGCCTCTTCTGGCCTCTGTGGGCACTGCACTCATGTGCACAAACATAATTAAGCGTGAATCAAAATACTTAGGGAAGGAAATAACATCTGAACTTAACATGAACAGACTGTTTTTATTTGTCATTATCTCTCCACAAGACAAATTAACGATTTTCATAGAAGTCCCATCAGACTTAGTATTCTAAGTAATCCAAAAACGATATAAAATATACAAGAAAATATGTGCAGGTTATATGCAAATACTACACCAAAGCAGCCAGTTTATATAAGACTTACCTGAACACTCACAGGTTCTGGTATTCCTAGGGGCTCTAATGACCAATCACTCATGGGTAAGGGCAGACAACTTTCCCAAATGACCGACTTTGAGTTGTAAAGGCTTTCTACCAGAGACTCTGCCTCACAGCTATAAAATCACTAAGAGAACCCACCTGCCAACTCTTTAATAACTTCTTCTCTAGTCATATGGCTGTTATTTCGAGATTTGTAGACAATCTGAAATGTCCCTTTGTTTGGGGCTTTAAACCAGGGCTCCAAAAATGTTTCTGCATATTTTTTCATATCTTCTAAGAAAGCTTTGCAGGTGCCTGAGATGGGCAACATTCGCAGAATAACACGTGTCTTCTTTTTCTTGGTTTTGTACATATCCTGGAGAATGTGATGCACTAATTTCTCAGGCTCTAAGAGAAAAAGAAAAGATGAAGTGACACAGCTAGCATTTTAACTTTTCATCATCTGGACTGCTTTTGCTATATATAAATGTCGATAGTCTCCAGGACCAATGCTTTGGGGATGTCCTAACTTAAGTAAGTCACAATAGCTCACTGTTGTTTTCTTGTAATACAAATTAGAAAAACAAGCATCATACAGCACACTTTTACAAAAACAAAATCTGTACATCATTTGAAGACTTACTCAATCCACTAGTTACTTCATGCAGAAGTCCAACTCTCAGCTGGGAAAGAATCCCAGCACCATGTAGCACAGCACCATGACACATTGAATCATGGCTACTTCTCAACTACACACATCTGCCTGACGTCAGTGTTAATGTTTTTGAATTAGTGATCAGATTTGAGAGTCAAAGGAACTCTATTTTCTCTTTAACTAATTGGATCAAGCCCTCTATTCCTAAGTGGAAACTAAGCCTGGTACTAGGTAGCTCTCTGGAGACAGAATTCATACTTTCATTCTACCTTACATTACATACCAAGGAAGGATGTATACAGCTAGGTCCCTACTCTTAAGCGAATACTATCCTCACCACCTTCCACCTCTCCACATTATTAGGAGACTAAAATAACACACTTCCAAAATGTGGAGTAAGAAACAAACTCCCCAAGTGTGGTATATGTCATCTGAAAATGGTTTCAGAAACATCTGGGCACTGACCTACAGCTGATGGGATATGGGGGATGTTACCATGGAGAGACTGACAGCCATACCCTGAAGCAGTATCTGCTAAGACAGAGATGCCCACATACTGTGGGATCAGTGATCTCAGGGGTGTTATTTAGACATACCTATCCCAAGGGTCCTGATGAAGACTACATTATTTGCTCCGCTCTCCATTGACTGGAATCTTCTCAGCCTCATCTCTGTAGAAGCCTTAATGTCACCAACTTCTTTCTTCAAGGCAGCCTCCACATCATCATCTTCTCCCTCACTTCCAGAGGGCTGCTGGTCCTTGTCTATAAACTGTTTACATAAAACCAATAAGTAAAAATGACACAACAGCTCATGTTCCAACCCTGTAATTAACTATTTATGTGAAACCCCCAATGGCAGAGGTCTCAGTGGTGACTATCAACGTTTTTATTAGGAGATTAAAATCACACCACTTCCAAAACGTAGATTACAAAATGAATTCCTTGAGTGTGGCATGTGTCTTCTTCTGAAAATGGTTTCAGAAATATTTTGACAGAGGCAGGCAGGCAATGTGTTCATCAGATAAAGCATGTCCCAGTGGACTTTAACACCATCATTGCATACCACTCTGGCTGACAGGATACTCTCTCTTTGGTAAGATTAGAACCAAATGCACAAGACAACTAAAACTGTTACTCCTACTCTACTAAGAAACAGGGTACAGAAGGAGATCAAGAACTTGCTTCAGCCAGGCACAGTGTAATCCCTACATGTGGGAAGCTGAGGCCAGCCCGCGGCAGCCAGCAGTCTTCCCTCAAAAACAAAAGGAACACAACAACAACAACAAAAAGGAACTCACACAGGGCAACACAGACAGGTCCATGTGCTTGTTGTCCAGTTCTCTGTCCTACCAAGGGGTTTTCGTTTCAATCAGGTTATAAAAATAACGGTGCACATTGAAGGAGCCTCTACAGATTCGTATTCTGTCCCCTCCTCTCAAATAATGGGGCCCGCTGCACTATCTTTCTCCACACTTGAGGGTGTGCAGGTGTGTTCGGAGTCTAAGCGAATAATATCATGGCTTCCAAACTGCCACTGAATGAGATTTGGGGTTCACAAGTTTTTATTTTCTTAAATGTATTTTCAAGTGCACTTAGAAAAGAGCATCCCTCTCAAACTTCCACTACCTCAGAGAGATGTTTAGCTTGTACCAACGTAACATGGTCGCAAGAAGTACGCTTCTGAAAGTTATTCAGAACACTACCTGGTCCACGGGAGGCAATCAATACGTGGGAGCCACTGTTATGAGTGATGTCAAGAAATGCCCAAAGAGCCAGCCCATAAGTACACACCCACCAGGCAGGTGACACCTCACTAGCGGCCACACCGGGGGGCAGGACGGTAGGCGAGGTCATGCAAGCACCGGACAGGCGCATCGAAGCAACTGCCGCCTCGGCTCCCCGGAAGAAGCCTGCAGGCGGCTCGCTCTCCCCGAGGCCGGTACCTTTTCGGGCCCGTACATGTCGTCGCCATACTCGTTAAGCAGGCTGTAGGCCTCCTCCACGCACTTGCGCTCGTTCATGTTGCAGGTGATGAGGATGCCCTGCAGGCCGGGCTCCAGCTGCCGCGGCCCGCCTGCGTCACAGCGCCGGGCCCGCTTGGCCGGGAAGAACTGGGCCTTGCCTTTGCGCTTTCCGCCGACCGGCTGAGGGGACTGCTGGGCGGGGGCCGCCATGCTGTCTCCGCTCCACGTTCCTTGGCGACTACATCTGCGCGCGGTAGTTGCGTCACACGTGTGCGACAGTCTGCCCTAGTGATCCCACCCCCTCTCCTTCGGTGGCTTTGGCCTGCCCCGCCCCTAAGCACGGAGTGACAGGGGCTTCAAGGCCCAGTCAGCCTGCAAACGTAGAATTTGGACTCTAGATAGACTTAAAACTTGCTCAGAAAGAACTGATTTTTTTTTTTAAAGTTAATGTTTATCGTGCTAGTCACTGTCTAAAGTGCGGAGGTCAGGCCATCAACCGAACTTGAAGTTTATTGTCTTAATAATAAGCCAAGGTTTCTTAGCAGTCACTGGAGTCCACCGAATCACTTGGGGTTTGTGTCTTTTCAAATGTGCATATTCAATACAAGTTCCCCTGGTGGTGCCGTGAGAGGACACCAGATGTGCAAAGACAGCTCCCTCTTATTCACCCAGGGTACTCTTGAGCAGGGAGAAACCAGGAATATGTAGATAGAAATATAGAGGAGAGGGAGACAGAAAACACAGGATAGCCTCAGAAGGGCCTGGGTCCAAACCCACCTGCCCCTTCTGTCTCTACTAAAGGGCTCTTAAAGGAATGTCAAGGGGTGGAGCAAAAGACCTCCCCCCCAGCACAGCCAAGTGCAGACCATTCCAGACACCTGGTGATCATGCATGTGGTCAAGCCATTCCCTAATGCAGTCCTGCTTTGTAAAGCAAGCTCAGATATCACTAGGAAACCTTTGTGGGCTCCTACAGTTGAGCTATCTCTCCAACCCCTAAATTCAATTTTTTAGCAAATTCTACTGGGCTTATGGCATACACATCAAGGAATTCTTCCATAGAGGCTCAGCTTCAGTACAAGCAAAGTATACTCTCCAGGGTGCCCTAGACCTTAGCTTAGCAGAGTGCTGAAAAGACAGAGATCAAATAGGACTTGCTGTTCTTGCAGAAAATCTGGGTTCAGTCCCCAGCATCCACATGGTCTACAGTCATCTATAACTCAAGTTCCAGGAGAACTGACTCCCTCTTTTGAACTCCAAAGGCACCTGACACTCATGTGGTACACATACATACATGCAGACAAAACACTCATCTACATAAAATAAATAAGTCTACCAAAAGAATTTTTAAAAGACTAGGAAAAAATAATATCAAGAGCTATCTATAAAGAAAGACACTGACATTGACTTCTAACCTTCATTTACTCATGCACCCCCCCACACACACACATATGCACACACATGTGCGTGCTAACACACACAAAAGATTGAGATAAAACTTTCAGACCGCCATGATAGAACCCTCATCCAGTGACTGATGGAAGCAGATGCAGAGATCCATGGCCAAGCCCCAAGCGGAGCTCCAGGAGTCCAATCCATGAGAGAGAGGAGGGATTATATGAGCAAGAGATATCGAGACCATGATTGGAAAAAGTATAGAGACAACTAACCAAACTAGTGGAAACGCATAAACTGTGGACCAATAGCTAAGGAGCCCCCATGGAACTGGACTAGGCCCTCTGGATAAGTGAGACAGTTGTTTAGCTTAAACTGTTTAGGGGGGCCCCAGGCAGTGAGACCAGGACCTGTCCTTAGTGCATGAGCCAGCTTTTTGGAGCCTGGGGCCTATGCTGAGACACTGCTCAGCCTTGGTGCAGGGAGGAGGGGCTTGGACCTGCCTCCACTGACTGTACCAGGTTCTGCTGACTCCCCAGGGGAGACCTTGCCTTGAAGGAGGTGGGAATGGGGAGGGGTGTTGAGGGGAGGAAGCTGGGGGTGGGAGGAGGGAGGACAGGGGAATCCATGGTTGATATGTAAAATGAATAGACAATCTCTTAAAATATTTTAAATATTTTTTTTTAAAAAAAAGCTTTCAGCAACTAAAATAAGACTGGGAGGTTGAAACTAGGAAAACTGACCCTTACAGCCCAGGAATGTCCAAGAAAAGAGAAAGATGCAGTGTGTCCAGTCCAGTACATGTGTGGTCTCTACAAACACCAGAGTCAGCAGTGCGACAATCCATAACAGTCTTTGTGAGGCAAGAGGAAATCCAGTTCAACACAGCTTAGTTAGCTGGTGTTGGTTCAAACTTCAGAGTCTGACCCCAAGAAAGTTTATTTTAAGCGTATTCAAGTACAGTACAATTTTGAAAAATAGTTCCCTGGTGACAATTAACTCAGTCCTGTATGTACGATAAAGCTTAAGGCAGGAGTACATCAAAACTCTTTGCAAAGGACACAGGACCTCGGTTCTATAGATTGACTATAGGTGTTATCTTAAGGGCCTAGGGGAGGATCTGGTGTAGTTTTGGTCATACAAATAAGGCAGAGGTCACCAAGCTATCAACCACCTCTGCTCCGTTTGTAAAGTACATGTGACATCCCATAAGGATGAGTTCTATCAAGTGAGAAATGATGCTCAAGATAAAGATCTAGGGAAAGTGACTGACATAAGAATAAGAGTCTGGGGAAGTCAGATGTGGCCTGGCCCTATAGACAGCACAGGTCACCAGGATATTAATTAACCACATCCATTCCCAGCCTTCTGGGTTGAAAACAGGCCATACACCTCTTTCTTCAAAGAGACTGCCCTGTATGATAACAGTCCTGGTTTCCTAGTGCTTATCTGTGAGCACAAGGGCCTCATGCCCTCTACAAGTACTGAGCATCAAGTCCAAAGTGAGTACCAACAGGCTGGGGAATATTGTCTGTATCTTATTTTAGTGTCTAATTCAAAAGTTAAAACAGAAGAAAACTGACCTAGTCAAGAACTTTTTTAAAGTACATTTAGGGCTTAGGGATTTAGCTCAGTGGTAGAGCGCTTGCCTATCAAGCGCAAGGCCCTGGGTTCGGTCCTCAGCTCTGGAAAAAAAAATAATTAACTAATTAATTAATTAATTAAAATTACATTTATTTAGGACTAATAATGATTTCTATCTGGGAAAACACAGATTTAAGCTGTCTTGAAAAATGTACTCTCAAGCTTTTTATTTACAACTTAAAACTACAATAAAAGGAGAGAGAGAAAAAATTTTCTGCTGGACACATCTTGGCAGGTCTTGGCAGGGAGGTCCAACTGAACTCACTTGAGTTAAAGGTTTGCCCTCCCAAGAGACCTGACTGGAACTCAAAGCTCTCTGCCTGGTAGCCCTTCCACTGGGGTTTGGCAGAGCTGGGGGCATGTCTGATGCAACACCTACCTAAGTTCCAACGAATGGCAAACGGGGCTCCGCTGAAAGCAGCTTGAGCTAGGTCTCAGCTACCCCAGAACTTAGTTTTTTTGTTTTTCCTCACACTAGAAATTAGTCAATTGTCCCGGCCAGCGGGATCTTCAGCAGAGACCCTAGAAGGGGGAATGGCGAATGAAAGGAACAAGAGACACAAAGAATTGACAGCAAGACAGTATTCTGAGCAAGCTGCATAAGGAAATGTTAAGTTATTTTCTAATAACTCAAGACTTGTCCAGGCATGTCAAAAGTTTCTGGTTAGTGGCTCAATACTGGACAACAGAAACTTAACTCAGGTAGGCAATATGGCATGGCTCTTAAAATTGTCCTCGGCAGTCAATATAGATTGATCAATAGTCATGAGAGCAAAAATAAAAACAAGCATGACTTCTAATACAGAAACAATTACAACTAGGACATAAAACACCTAAGCTGGTTAATTTCCTGTGGTATTACTCATTCATTATATGGATTATTATATGAAATTCTCTTCTACTGCTAGTCTAATCAATATTTAAATTAATGTTTAATTTTCATGCTAAATAAACTAAAAGAACAAAACTTAAAATTTTGGGCCATGTCAATTGGGTACATCCTGATTTGCCTATCACTACTAAGGATGTGGCTCCTCTCTTTAAGTTGCTTTCTGGAGACTCTCAGTTAAATTGTACAAGAAATGTGTCACCTGAAAAAGGATAATGAGATATTAGCTTATTAAATAATGCTGCTGCTAAAGCAGTAGCTCATAGAATTAATCCCTTACTTCTTTTATCAATTACTTATCCTTCCTTTCTCTTCATCTCCTACTGGAATAATATGTTACCAAGATGATAGTATTACAAAAATTTATGCATGTCCATAATCTGTAACTCCTTATTTACAAGAAATTATAGGCTAAAAAAAATGTTGGGGAAAACATGTCTTAACTTACTGTTAAAGAGCCTATGGAAATCATTGTGCCACTAAATAAAAGCAGGTTGATTATATGCTCCACACTGATAGTAACTGGCAGATTGTATTAGCATGCTACTCAGTTTTTTTTAAGATTTATTTATTTATTATGTATACAGAAGAGGGCTCCAGATCTCACTACAAATGGTTGTGGGCCACCATGTGGTTGCTGGGAATTGAACTCAGGACCTCTGGAAGAGCAGTCGGTGCTCTTAACCTCTGAGCCATCTCTCCAGCCCTCGGAGATGCTACTCAGTTTTTATAGATAATTATTATGCAAAAAAAACCCTTCTTAAGATTGTTTTGAAGTTACCCCATCGGTATTGCCTAAAATTCCTACAGAGATTGCATTGAGCGCTTTTACATGTGGCCCTTTAAATGGAAAAGAAGCATATATTTTATATACTCTTACCTACTACAGCATACTGTATATGTAACTTGAATTCAACTCTTGTTGAATTTAAATTTTTAAGTTTAAATCCTTAAAAGTTAATAGCCATTGTTAATTAAGTAGGTTTTGTTTGTTTTTCTTTTAGTTTTATGCTTGCTCTTGGCCTGATAAATGATCAGACTCTGGCAAGGGAGGAAGTTAGGGGCTCATGAAACCCTATCCTCTGTTAAAAGCATTATTTTACACAGTTGTCAGGTCCAAAAGAAATGGGACAAATAGCTAACTTTGGTGCCTACTAGCATTCCAAAGTGCATGCTGGCCTCCAGGCTCTCTCAGTTTTTATGGAATATTACTTTAACTATGTAAGTGTGCTAAATTTGTTTATTCTGAATTTGTTTAACTATGTAAAGATGTGTTGTATCTGTTTTACCTTGCCTGACTAAGACACCTGATTGGTCTAATAAAAACCTAAATGGCCAATAGCTAGACAGTAGAGGGATAGGCGGGGCTGGCAGGCAGAGAGAATAAGTAGGAGGAGGACTCTAGGCATGAGGGAAGAGAGAATGGAGGAGAAAAAGAGGGAAATGCCCAGGGCAGACAGACAGACAGACACAGAGTAGGACATACAGAATGAAAGAAAGGTAAAAAGCCCTGAGGCAAAATGTAGATGAAGAGAAACAGGTTAATTAAAGTTGTAAAAGCTAATGAGACAAGCATAAGCTAAGGTCAAGCAGTCATAATTAATAATAACTCCCCGTGTCATGATTTGGAAGCTGGTTGGTGGCCTAAAAAAGCCTGCTACACTCAGTATCAAAAGTGCCTGTTATAGAGTCCATGCTGGTATCCTCTTCTATGTTCTTCTCACCCCGCCCCCACCCTAAACTTCTTCAGCCCATCAACTTCCCTTCCCTCAGCTTCTCATTCCTATATAATCCTTCCATTCAGCCACACACACTCTTTGCTGTCTTGGCTTTTGCTCTCTTGCCCCTCTCTCTTGGTCTCCTCTCTCTCTCTCTCTCTCTCTCTCTCTCTCTCTCTCTCTCTCTCTCTCTCTCTCTCTCTCTCTTCTCCTCTCTTGCTCTGCCTCCTCTCTCTCCTCTCATGTCCTAGTTCAGTTTACTGGTCATGTTCAAGGTACTGCTTTCTCTCCCTTCTCTAAACTCTTCCAGATGTCTCTGGCTGTGCTCTCTCTCAACTCTACAATAAAAACCTACTCCTCAACCATACCTTGGAGTGGTATGTCCTCATTTTATACAATAGTATAAAGGCATTATTTTATACAGCATTCCAAGCTTCTAATGCACAATTAGTAGAAATAGACATCAGCTTGACATCTGGAACTATGACTTTCTGTGTCTGGGACATCCTCTACTGTCAAGTCTGTAGAGATCTGGGCTCAAAATTCACTACAGGTGTGCACAATTCCTCTTCCTAACTAGTCAGCTACAGAGCACAGCTCCAGGTATGGCATGAGGTTTTGGCGGCTCCAGGATAATACCATTGTTCCATAAATGGAACTTGACTTTGTCAAATACCTCTTTATTCACATCCTTTCTAGGACCCCTTGCAACTAACATTTATATTACTAAAATCCCTTACTATTCATGGGACCAAGCTATTGGGAACACCATCAAATACTTATTGGCAAATTTTAATAATAAAAAGAGAAGTATATATACCTGTAGTTGAAAGTTTGCCTGGTCCTGCAGCCGCTCAGACCCAAGTAAACCCACACAGGCTTATATTATTTTTAAATTATGGCCATGGCAGGCATCTTGCTAACTAGCTCTTATATCTTAAATTAACCCATTTCTATAAATCTATATTTTGCCATGTGGCTTGTGGCTTACCAGTATCTTTACATCTTGCTTCTCATGGCAGCGGCTGGCAGCACCTCCTCTACTGTGCCTTTCTCCTTCCTCCTCTCTAGTTAGAATGTCCCACCTAACCCCATTCTGCCTCACCATTGGCCAAACAGCTTTATTTATCAACCAATCAGAGCAACACATATTCACAGCATACAGACTGACATCACACATTATTTCCTCCCTTTTCTTTCTATTCAAAAGGAAGATTTTAACCTCAACATAGTAAAATTACATATAACAAAACAGTTATCAAGCAAGAATTATAGTTACAATATAGTTACAATATCTAGTCTATTTGTATTTGGCAAAATTAAAGAAGATATCCTATCTATCATATATTTGTGAGTCT